GTACAAAATTTTTTAATTGCTAGAGGGAGTGCTGAGTTTGTTTTGTTGCTTTTTTTTGGAAAAGCAAATATGCCAAATAAGTTTGAGAACCGGTGGAGTCAGTGGCTAATCAATAGTCAATTCTTTTCATTATTCTTCCTATTGAGGACATGGACATTTCCATCCGGGTTTCTGGAAATTGGTGGCATAGTGGGTTTTTGCGTTCAGCTGCTAGCCACGAGGGCAGCCATTTGAAATTACCAGGTGCTCTGCAAGAGCAAGATGAGATTTTTCTCCTCCTGCGAAGAGTTACAGGGGCAGTTCTGAGTTATGGGAATTCACAGGGGGCAGTTCTAGCCTGACGTGTAGGATCACTCTGAGCCAGAATTGACTTGAAGGCAGTGACTTGTTTTATTTTTCACTTTTGGGGTAAGATTTAAAGACTTCTGTGATGACAGAATTGGCAAGTTGTGTCAGACTTACTCATTAGGTTAGCCAACAAAGTTGATTGAGTACTTGTTTTCAGCCAATGTGGCAGAGGCCTTCGCTGGTCACCGTAGATTCACATAGGCTAAAAATATGTATATGCATCACCAACCTCAGCCCCATGGTAATTATAGAACACTCCTCCCAATAGCAGAGTGCACATTCCTTTTGAATGCACACAAAAAACTGACCAAAGTGATATTTGTGTTCATAAAGCAAGATTCTGGCCACTATGGAATTAAACTAGAAATCAATAACCGAAAGATTCGTGGAACTGTGGGTGCAACAGCTTAATAATTGGGCTAAAAACTAAGAGGTTGGTGATCTGTACCCCGCAGTTGCTCCACAGGAGAGAGGTGAGGCTGTCTGTTTCCATACAAATTTACAGCCCTGGAAAGTTCTATGGAGCTGTTCTACTCCGGCCGTAGAGCTGTTATGGGTCAGAATCAACTTGGTGACAGTAGGTTTGGTTTGGTTTAACTCGATCTTTGCTATTTTCCTTTGTTTATGTCACTTACTGACAGAGTTATTTACATATCTAACTATACTTGAATATTTGCCTCTATTTGCCTAATATTTAGGTTTCATGTACTTTGAAGGCCCATTATCAGGAGGATAAACCATTTGAATTATAAAGAAGAAAGCAAGACTGTTCTTGTTTATTGGTTGATAAATGGGTGTATGTAGAATATACAAAGGAGTTATAAACTACTGGGATAAGTGCAGTCAGTGAAGTTATTGTACAAAATTTACATACAAAAATCAATCGTCTTTGTGTATGGGAAACTGAAAAGTTAAAAATACCTTTTACAATAATATCACGACATTAAATATCTAGTAAGACATTAAATAACAAACATATTATATATCCTAGAATAAGTCCAACAACAAAACTTTTCTGAAAGATGTGAAAACCATCTAAATAAGTGGAATAACGCACTATGTTTGTGGATTGGCTCTCTCCACGTGAGATGGCAATTCTCTCTAAACAGATCGATGGATTCAACTTGATCCCACCCTAACCTTAGGAGGCACTTAACTGAAGGGGATTCGTGCTTTCCACGCTACATGCTACTCAACCTCCTCTCCCAATTAGAAGCACACAACATACACCCAACAGCAAACCTGATTCTAGCGTCTTCTAGCGCTGGGGAGAAAAGGTGGTGTCTGAGGCAGCCACTGCAGGACGTGGTAGGAAAAACAGGTCACTATCTCACAGTTCTATGTGGTAAGAAGAGGTTCAAAGGTAAAAGTTAATCTATTAATAGGGAATGATCACTGACCTAGAAGTAAATGAGCAGCCAGACCAGAGCAAGGTTAGGGCTTTGTTTGCTCACCTTACCGCAAAGTGTAGTTCACAGCAAAAACAAAGGTTGGAACACACTGTTTCTGACTTGCCCCCGAACAGTTGTTGTCTTTTCTCATCAATGATGATCAGAGGAACGGGGTGGGTGATTTGCGGAGCAAAGAATTACAGAAACCTCAGTGTTGGAGAGAAGGGCTTGTTGGGGCAGGCAGTGTGCATCTGAGAGAGGAACAACCACAGCTGGGAAGCCAGTGGGCAGCAGAGAAGTGAGGGCGCAGGCCGTGTGGGCTGGAGGAGCGGACAGTGCGGGTGGGGTAGACGGGTGTTTAGGTTCAGGTGAGAGGCAGGAAGAACCACTAGTATTCTCGAGTGAAGAAGTGATTCAGTAATGCGGGCGGAAGGCTCAGAAACATAAGCATAAGACTGTAAGTTAAAAAAAGAGCTCCAAACTGTCTTAGCGGGTTGACTGCTGTTAGGTACCATCGAGTTGGTTCCGATCCATAGTGCCCTGATACCCTGTAGACTGAAACACTGCCAGGCCCTGGGCCATCCTCACAGTTGTTCTTATGCTCGAACCCGTCGCCGCAGCCACAGTGTCAATACATCTCTTTGAGGCCCGTCCTCTTTCTCTCTGCCCCTCTCCTCTGCCCAACATGACGTCCTTCTCCAGGACTGGTCTCTCAGGACAGCAGGATGAAAGGTCACGGATTTCTAATGCAGCCAGGTCCTCTGTCCGACCCCAGCTCTCGTCATGCCTTCTCAGTGTTACAGCAGCCGTGAACATTTAGGAAGTGCTCCCCGTGGGCCGGAAGTCCCTGGGTGGTCAAATGGTGACTAGCTACCAGCTACTAGCTAGAAGGCTAGAAGTTCAAGTCTACCCACCGACACCTCTGAAGAAAGGGCTAGACGTCGAGGACAATCAGCCATTGCAAACTCTATGGAGCACAGTTCTACTCTTGACGCATGTGGGGCCCCCGGGTGCTGAAGGCGAGTCATTGACAGGGCCTTCAGTTGCCTCAGACGCTTCTCACCCTCGATTTCACTTATTCCCACAGCAGCTCTCTGGCTAGGTAGTGTTTTCCCAATTTTTCAGATGAGAAAATAAGGTTAAATTGTCCAAAGCAGGAGTGGGCAAATTGTAACCATCACACCACGACAAGAGGGCATTGTGAGCAGCTCACTGCCCTGTCCTGATGATCACAGCAGTGGGACTTGCCTGACTTAAAAAAAAATGTACCTGGAGTCAAAACTAGCAACATCCCTGCTGATTCGTCACACCTTTCTTTCTCAAGGCTCGTCCTCATGTGCTTGGAGGGAACTGAATGCTGTATTTCCACTAGATGGCACTAGGACCTCAGAAATGCTTTTCAAAACCACCCTCATCTGTGGACACTGCTGTCCTGTCTCTTTGATGGGGTGACTTTACATATAACGTCCGACATCCTCTTCGTGGTCGTTTTCATGTTTTAGTCCATGTGTCACATAGCACTGAGGGTTCCCTTTGCTTTGCTAAGCATGATGGCCTTTTCCTAGCCATTGGTCTTTCCTGATGATGCGGCCAAAGCAGGTGAGTTGAGGTCCCTTCAGCTTCCCTTCTAAGGGATGTTTTATTTTTTCTTTTAAAAATCATTTTATTGGGGGCTTATACAACTGATATCACAATCCATACATGCATCCATTGTGTCAAGCACATTTGTTGTCATCATCATTCTCAAAACATTTTCTACTTGAGCCCTTGGTATCACTCCCTCCCTACCCGCTCCCTACCCTCACGAACCCTTGATAATTTATAAATTATTATTATTTTGTCATGTCTTTT